GGGGTTGGGGGAAGGGGTTTAGGGTTGGGGGTTGGGGGAAGGGGTTTAGGGTTGGGGGTTGAGAGAGGGTTGGGGGTTGGGATAGGAGGATGGTGGTAGTCAGTGGTGACTGTATTCGTTATGTGATAATTGTGAGTGGGTAGAGCTTAGAAAACATGACCCCACCCCCATTCCCCATGAATTTCGACAAATGAAATAAACCGTGAATGTTATGCATGTCCCAGAAACTAGGTCATCCCACTACATGACATATTTTTAAGACGTCTGATCTCGGGAATCTGATGTCATGGTGAGCAAAAGAATTGTGTCGTGGTATAACATGATGTCTGACAGTGACAGCCATAGAACCAGTCACAAAGCCCAACAACAACATCAAACAGATAAAAAAAACTACCTAAAAAAACAGCCATTAGAAGCGAGAGCTTGTGGGTGAATTGAAACAAAACATCCCGGACACGGTGTCCGGTTCGCGAATCTGATATCCCGAGTCTGCGAAATTGTTGAGATAATCGAAGAAAAGCTTTTATCAGGGGGCACAATAATCGAGGCATGTGTCTTCTCTTTTCTCTGACGGGTATGTGGGTGGTTGGCAAGTGCTCTGTTGGGGTTTGCTTCTACATTCCTATCAAACATCTATCGTCTTTATCTCTCCTCCTTCTTTTTTTGTGTTTGTTACTCTCTTGTTACACCTCTAATCGTCGACACTTATATGACCTTATTGTGTTGCAAGTGCCGTAAAACACTTACTAAAACAAATGACGTATATGTTGCAGTGAATCTAGTTGTTGTGGGTAATTTGTCCACATTGTTGTTGTCTTTGTTGTTGTCGTTGTTTTGTTTTGTTGCTGTTATGATATTGTAGTTGTAGCTGTTGTGGTTTATGGTGTTGTTGTTGTTGTTGTTTTGTTGTTGTTGTTGTTGTTTTTGTTGTAGTTGCTGTTGTCGTTCTTTAATGTGTTGTTATTATTGTCGTTGTCATTGTTGTTGCTATTTATTGTTGTTGATGGTGGATTGTTGTTGTTGTTGCTGTTGTTGTTGTTGTTGTTAGTGGTGCTGTTGGAGTTGGTTAGCTCTTGATATTGTTGTTATTGTTGTTGTTGTTGTTGCTATTGTTGTTGTTGTTGCTGTTGTTGTTTTGTGGTGGTGGTTTGTTGTGGTTGTTACTGTTTTTGTTGTTGTTGTTGTTGTTGTTGTTGTTGTTGGTAGTGGTGGTGACATTTTCTTCTTCTCCTAGATGCCACGTTCCAAAACGTCACTTCCTGTCTAAGTGTCAATGACACTCAGTTCTGGGAGTTACAAAGGTCAAAGAGAACGCTTTTGCCATTTCTTGGAAATTCTTATAGAGCGGAGCACGTATCCAGAAACACGTGCCCTAGACCTGTTGAACTTTGACGTGCATTTTGAGAGAAAGCATGGGCAATCCGTTCAAATAACATTTGCCGCTATCGTGTCCGTCCGTGTTCATATTGGCTCAACATAATGGGCAGGAATATTATTCCTTCTTATCTGTACGCGATTACACGAAACATATACGAGAAGCCTCATTTCCATTAGGATATTATTCTATAAAAGAGAATAAAAGTGTTGATCAAATAAATGATTATTTATGGCATGTTGCGTAAAATGTGCGACGTGTTCAGAAGCCAAGGAATACATCTCCCCGGAGACCCGTTGCCCTACTCGCATTTCGGAAACTGGCTCGTCTGGCATCGGTGGTCTAGTGGTTAGGCTTTTCGCGCTGTTCTGTTAGTAGATTAAGTAAGTGTTTTACGGCACTTGCAGCGCAATAAGGTCATATAAGTTTCCGAAGATTAGAGGTGTTACAAGA